CCAGCTCCTTAAGCGCTCCTCATAGGGCTTGTTCTCCAGACCCTTGATCATTTTAGTCACCCTCCTCTAGACACATTCCAGCTTGTCAATATCTTCTTGAATTGTGGTGCCCATTTCACCCAGCACCACACCAGAGTCCAGTAATTCTATCTAAAAATGTTTATTAAAGATGTACAAAGGAGAAAAGGACAAAACAACATCAAGGACATCTAATCACCTCTTAACAAAACATTTCCCCAGGCACTGCCAGGCCATCAAATGCTAATCAAGGTAGTCAGTTGAAACATTCACACCTAGCTCCAGCAGACAAGAGTTCTTTGTCCCACCCTGGTCGTTCCACAGATATATAAACCCATTTTTCTAGTTCCAACAGACCTCACTGCCTCTGAGGATGCTTGACATAGATGGAGGTGAAACGTCAGGAGAGAATGCCTCTAGGGTCTAGAACATGGCCATATAGCCCTAAAAAACCTACAACAACCCAGAAAAGGGCATTTCTCAGAAGTGCAGTAGAGTTCCTACCAGCCTGCAAGAAGCTACATAGCTCAAGCCCGAATATGAAACTGTTGCCAAAAATCCCAGGCTCGGCTAGCTCCCTGGGCATGGACCAAGCAATCAGCTTCATAGAATGGATCTCATTTAGCTTTTTCAATAATAGTTGTTGGGGACGGATGGGATAATGAAACAAACCGACATTGGCTCTTATTAAAGAAGCACTCCTTGTGATATGTACTGTGCACTCATTCCATTAGTTTTTCACTCTTCACACGTTTTGCAGGCTTAAAAACTTGCAAACCATTGCCTTGAGACACCTTTTCTCCAGCACCACACCAGAGTAGAGTAGAATGAACTACAAAAGTTTATTAAGAAAAGCATGTTATGCCGTCGCGCCTGGGGGCTATAACTCTTAGTGAAAGAGACATAGATGTGACATCTTTCCCCCAGGGGATTGCTTCTTGCCTTCCTTTAAAGAACTGGAACTCCCAAGGACCAAAACACTGTAGATAACTCAAAATAGGTTTTATTGTTCACAAAGAGTTGTCCCTTTAAGGCAATAAGCTGGAAGTTTCAAAGGGGTAAAGGAAATATACATTACAGTCTCTGGTTGTCTTGGATCCAAGGAGATTTCGCAGCTGAGAAGCTTTTCCTGTTCCCTCTTTTCTCAATGGCTGTGAAAGTCGGAACAAACACAACCCTAGTCCAATGGCCTATGTTGAAGGCACAGAGTCTTCCTTTTGATGCCAAAGGACCGGTTTGAAGGCACTTGGGTCTCCTCAATGTTGTCCAGGGTGATCTGGACATGAAGCATGAGTCCCAAGGGTAAAACCTTAGAATTGGTGCTGAGAGGTAACTTAATCAAGGGCTTTAGAGCCAAGTCTCTTTCTCACGTCTATCTGATAGAAAGTTTGATGGTAGAATGGAAAAGGAAAATCTCTGCCCTCCTCCAGGAAGAGGTGGAGCCAAGCAATTAGGCTGAGGAAGCAATATAACTGGTGCAAACAACATTGATTGACAGCTTTAAATAACCCATCAATCCAACTATACATTTACAAAGTAAGCAAGTATGGGCATGTTATACAGTTTAAACCTTTGCACTTTAAAGTTCTACACACAGGTGGCGCCACTCGCGCCGTCGCACATGTACAAAGGAAAAAAGGGCATTTCTCAAAAGCGCAGTAGAGTTTGTTGTTGTTTATGTGTTCAGTCACTTCTGACTCTTCGAAGTCCTCCTGGCCCAGCCCAATTCATCCTGCCCAATTACAGCCATTTTATATTGTTTGGTGTGTACATTTATATTGTTTTGTATTTATTTTTATTTTCATTGTATTTTACTGTTTGTATTTTATGTTGTATATATGCTGTACTGTTGGGCTTGGCCTCATGTAGGCCGCCCCGAGTCCCCTTGGGGAGATGATGGCGGAGTATAAATAAAGTATTATTATTATTATTATTATTATTATTATTATTATTATTATTATGCCTTGCATTTTACTATTAACACACACACACACAAACACTAACAGATTTCTTACATGCCCTAACATATGTTGTGACTCAGCTGGAATCTCAGAGTGATAGTACCAATGATAGTGTCAGTGCTTCTGATGGGAATGATGGGATTCAGATTCACAGTCAGGTGCAAAGCAATGATGTCCCTTTGTTAGATGAAGAAGGAACAGGGGGCAGAAGTTCAGTTGTTTCCCACAGCAAGGGATGACACTGTTGAAAGTGAAACTACTGAGAAACAGGTGCAGGATTCAGGAAGGGAGGACAGTTTTCAGCCAGATAGTTCTCAGCCTGATAATGAGGGGAAAAGCACTAATGAGGGAATTGACCTTGATGAAGCTGGAGGTTTAGATCGAGCTGATTGGTTGGAATTTATGGTTCGCAGGAGTGTCAGCAGGCGAGAGGGGGAGGCTCGGGGCCATAGGAATGCCTTCATGTTGGCCCAAGAGTATTAAACAGACTGTTTGAATATGCCTCAGTGTCAGAGCAACTTCTCGCTTCATCCAAGAGACTTTGGATTTATCTTAGAATCATAGAATCAAAGAGTTGGAAGAGACCTCATGGGCCATCCAGTCCAACCCCAGTCTGCCAAGAAGCAGGAATATTGCATTCAAATCACCCCTGACAGATGGCCATCCAGCCTCTGTTTAAAAGCTTCCAAAGAAGGAGCCTCCACCACACTCGGGGCAGAGAGTTCCACTGCTGAACGGCTCTCACAGTCAGGAAGTTCTTCCTCATGTTCAGATGGAATCTCCTCTCTTGTAGTTTGAAGCCATTGTTCCATTGCGTCCTAGTCTCCAGGGAAGCAGAAAACAAGCTTGCTCCCTCCTCCTCCCTGTGGCTTCCTCTCACATATTATAAGCTAATAGGCCTGGGTAACAACGGAAAAATTTGTTTCTAAAATCGATTTGTATTTGGGGGTTTTTTTGTTTCGATATTTAAAATAATTACAAAATTTTCCTTTTAAAAAGTTCGATATTTACGAAATTTCGTAAATGGTAAAAAATTAACGAATCGATTTCCGAAACAATAACGAATCGATTCGTTAATGGCAGACGCGACTGCGAAATACGCTAAAAAACCTCCAAAACCTTCTGAAGCTTCCCTCTCCCTCTGTTGTTGACTGTTGGTGTGATATTATAATTTTTTTCACTAATTAAACCATAAAACTGGCCCAGACATGCGGAAATAATAACGAAACGACCTCAAAACAATAACGAAACGAATACAATATCGAAATACGAAGCATTTACAAAACGTTTTTGAAAATTCGTTTTTTTAAATAATTGCTCCAGAATGGTTCGTTATCGTTTTGTAATTGAAAAAATTAACGAATTATTAACGAATTACGAATTAACGAAACGAAACCGCCCAGCCCTAATGGCTATCATATCTCCTCTCAGCCTTCTCTTCTTCAGGCTAAACATGCCCAGCTCCTTAAGCCGCTCCTCATAGGGCTTGTTCTCCAGACCCTTGATCATTTTAGTCGCCCTCCTCTGGACACATTCCAACTTGTCAATCTCTCTCTTGAATTGTGGTGCCCAGAATTGGACACAATATTCCAGGTGTGGTCATAGAATTATAGAATCATAGAATCAAAGAGTTGGAAGAGACCTCATGGGCCATCCAGTCCAACCCCCTGCCAAGAAGCAGGAATATTGTATTCATAACTAAAACCGAATAGAGCATGGGGAGCATGACTTCCCTGGATCTGGGCACTATGCTCCTCTTGATGCAGGCCAAAATCCCATTGGCTTTTTTTGCCGCCACATCACATTGTTGGCTCATGTTTAACCTGTTGTCCACAAGGACTCCAAGATCTTTTTCACAGAGCTTTTATGTTCATGTTTCAGGACGTTGTCACATTCTCATGGGACTTTGCCTTGCCTGTGTCTTCATGGATCTCGTTTACCTATGCTACCTTGGATTGATCTTTTGAAATATACTTTTGCCTTTTTGAACTTTTTATCTTTTACTTTAATAAATCATAAAGACTACTGCTGGTGTGTTCTTTGGTGTGTTAAGCAAGGTGACTTTATTCTGAGGTGCAACAACATAGTTGCCCATCAACTTCTTGCCTTCTTCTTGTGCCAAACCCATCCTTTCCCATCACTCCTAATGAATAAATATGCTGCAGATCTGAAATAGCTCACAGTAATGACACATCAGTTTGCCTCACTCTATAATAAGATTTTGCATTTTTAACTAAGGGAGAAGTTAGTCGTACAGTTGGCAATGAGTGCAAATTCCTCCCGGGAAACCACGATGATAAATAGCAGAAATCGTTAATTAAAAGAGCAAGAAGTTCATGGATTTCCTAAGAGGAGATGAGGGGGAAAGACACTGCCTTGAGGGATGATGTGTTGTGATTAGGGCTGGGCGGTTTCGTTCGTTAATTTAGTAATTCGTTATTAATTCGGTTTTTTTTTATAACGAAGCGATATTGAACCATTCAGGACCAACTAAAAAACGAAACGAATTTTTTTCAATTCGTTTCGTAATTGTTTCGTATTTGTTTCGAAATCATTTCGTTATTATTTCCGCATGTCTGGTGCAAGTTTTATAGTCGTTGTTTGTTTTATCAGTGAAAAAATAAATAAACTTTCACACCCACAGTCAACAACAGAGGGAGAAGGAAGCTTCCTGTCCCATTTGGAGGTTTTTTTAGCGTATTGCGCGATCGCGCCCGCCATTAACGAATCGATTCGTAATTGTTTCGAAATCGATTCGTAATTGATTCGTAATTTACGAAATTTCGTAAATATCGATTTTTTTCAAGGAAAATTTCGGAATTAATTTAAAAATCGAAACGCAAAAACCCCCTAAAAACGAATCGAGTTTAGAAACAATTTTTTCTGTGGTTGCCCAGCCCTAGTTGTGATGTGGTGCCCGTGACACTGATTTCCATAGAAAAGGCTCCCATAGATTTTTGCAGTGTCAGTGTGGCTGAAATGTATATCCATAAATAAGATAAATACAAAATCCTTTTCGCCATGTCGGTTTGTGAGTAAGTACGAGCACAGCATACATAAAACAGCAAAATAAGCTTTTCACACATCTAGTTTACTTCAAATCAACCATTTCTTAAAGGGATTTTATTTCTCCCCAGTCTGGGGATTAAGGTACCACACAAGACCCCACAAAGTGATTCACTATTTCCCTGTTACGGCAAGATCCAATGAATCCATTTTCTCTTTTTCCTCCTTTCTGTTGAAATTGTCCACATGCTTCTTGTGTATTTCAATGGCTTCTCTGTGTAGCCTGACATGGAGGTTGTGAGAATGGTCCAGCATTTCTGAGTTCTCAAATAAAATGCTGTGTCCAGGTTGGTTCATCACGACCACTCTCACAACCACCAGGTCAGGCTACATAGAGAAGCCACTGAAATCCACAAGAAGCATGTGAACAATGTCATCAGAAAGGAGGAAACCATGAAAATGAACAAAATCTGGCTACCAGTATTAAAAAACTCTAAAATTACAACAGCAAAACAACAGAGAGGAAACAAACAAGAGTTTGCTCCAGACACAGTCAGCCCATTGTACGCTAATCAAGGTGGTCAGTTGAAACATTCACACCTAGCTCCAGCGGACAAGGGTCCTTTGCCCCACCTTGGTCATTCCACAGATATATAAACCCATTTTCCTACTTCCAACAGACCTCACTACCTCTGAGGATGCTTGCCATAGATGCAGGCGAAACGTCAGGAGAGAATGCCTCTAGACCATGGCCATACAGCCCAAAAAACCCTACAACAACCCAGTGATTCTGGCCATGAAAGCCTTCGACAATACGTTTCCTACATACTTAAATGTTTCATGGATGGAATCAATATTATTGGAACCATGCAAAATCATACAAATGTTTCCAGCATATGAAATCTCTTGGGGCCACTCTGACATCACACTTTGTGCATGGCTCGGCGCCATCTGTTCCATCCATGGAGTCCTTTTCACTTGAGGTAAAATAAGATCAAAATCTGATGTTCTCCATCCCAAGATGTGGAGGCAGGAAATTTCAATAAAGCAGCCAGAAGGCTGTATAAATAAATGCCTTCTGTGCTTATTTTTTACAGCATCCTTTCAGAAGCAGAAGGAGGAAGAGACGTATTTAATTTATTTCAAACGACAAGAAGAGAAGTGATCCGGTGGCTGCAATTCTTGGAGCGTGCAGCAGTAAAGCTAAAACCCCATCAAAGATGATGTATGTGCCACTCAGAGTGTGCGCGTGCATCAGGACCAGGAGGAGCTCAGGGTTTTGAGACAGAAAGTTAAAGGAACGGTTTAGCATTTCTGCAGCTGGCCTACGCCAAGGGATTCAATGGGAGGGAGAGCCAATACTCCAGAGGACACAGCAGCAGGATTCAAAACGATCTTAACAGATTAGAGAGATGAAGGGCCAAAACTAACAAAATGAAGTTCAACAGGGACAAATGCAAGATACTCCACTTTGGCAGAAAAACGAAATGCAAAGATACAGAATGGGGGACAAGGCCTGGCTCGAGAGCAGTACGTGTGAAAAAGATCTTGGAGTCCTCGTGGACAGGAAGTTAAACATGAGCCAGGAATGTGATGTGGCGGCAAAAAAAGCCAATGGGATTTTGTCCTGCATCAAGAGGAGCCTAGTGTCTAGATCTAGGGAAGTCAGGCTCCCCATGCTCTATTCCGCTTTGGTTAGACCACACCTGGAATATTGTGTCCAATTCTGGGCACCACAATTCAAGAGAGATGTTGACTCTAAGCTGGAATGTGTCCAGAGGAGGACGACTAAAATGATCAAGGGTCTGGAGAACAAGCCCTATGAGGAGCGGCTTAAGGAGCTGGGCATGTTTAGCCTGAAGAAGAGAAGGCTGAGAGGAGATATGATAGCCATGTATAAATATGTAAGAGGAAGCCACAGGGAGGAGGGAGCAAGCTTGTTTTCTGCTTCCTTGGAGACTAGGACGCAGAACAATGGCTTCAAACTACAAGAAAGGAGATTCCATCTGAACATGAGTAAGAACTTCCTGACTGTGAGAGCCGTTCAGCAGTGGAACTCTCTGCCCCGGAGTGTGGTGGAGGCTCCTTCTTTGGAAGCTTTTAAACAGAGGCTGGATGGCCATCTGTCAGGGGTGATTTGAATGCAATATTCCTGCTTCTTGGCAGAATGGGGTTGGACTGGATGGCCCATGAGGTCTCTTCCAACTCTTTGATTCTAGGATTCTATGATTCTATGAGTGTGTTCAAGGTGATGCTGGCCTCAGCCAATATCCATCAATGCTCATCTACTGATTTCTCTTAGCCTGACTTATTCACGTGGGATGCATGTGTGCATTGTTAAAACACCTGCAGAATAACACGTAAGCCTTGATGTGGTGAACCCCATCCACTTTTCGGTGGTGCTCTACCAACAGAGCTCAAACTAGGATATCCCGCTCCCCATTAACTCTCCTTTCATCCCCAACATTTCAGGCATTGTCATTTCTAGCCTTACATGATGGTAACAGTCTTGGAACAGAGAGTGTTTGAGGACCGTGGACATCCATAGGGAGACTAAAGTGCCATTAGGTTGTTGGGTCTCTGTCTTGACTCTCGTGGCTTCTTCTCAGTGGTCTTGCAGTTCTTCTGAGGTCTGAGGTGGAGTCTCCATTGGCCTGGAGAGCCCAGTTGAGGTGGTTCAGTTCATCTTGGAGGAGGTGGGCTTTGCAGATTCTTTTTGCACGGTCCGTCAAGGCTTTAATGATGCTTCTTTTTTTACTTGGGTGATGGTTGGAGTTTTTATGTAGATATCTATCTCTGTTTGTAGGTTTTCTGTAAACTGTGTGAAGGAAAACTACCTTTTCTAGATGTCCTAGTCATCCACAAACCAGATCAACAAACTCCAAAATTATAACAGCAAAACAACAGAGAGGAAACAATCAGGGACAGCTAATCACCTCTCAACAAAAGATTCCCCCAGGCACTAACAAGCCACACCAAAAAATGCCAGGCCATCAAATGCTAATCAAGGTGGTCAGCTGAAATATTCACACCTAGCTCCAACAGACAAGAATTCTTTCTCCCACCCTGGTCATTCCACAGATAGATAAACCCATTTTTCTTACTTCCAACAGACCCCACTACCTCTGGGGATGCTTGCCATAGATGCAGGCGAAACATCAGGAGAAATGCCTCTAGAACATGGCCATATAGCCCGAAAAAACCTACAACAACCCAGTGATTCCAGCCATGAAAGCCTTCAATAATACATTAAGGTGCCATTGTCCTCCCAACCCTACTATATGCCTGCAAAACGTGGACTGTCTACAGATGTCACAATGAACTCCTGAAATAATTGCATCAAAGTTGCCTCCAAAAAATCCTACAAATCTCTTAGGAAGACAGGCAGACGAATGTCAGCATGCTGGAAGAAACAAACACCACCAGCATTGAAGTGATGCTCCTCCACCATCAACTTCACTGGACTGTCCAAGTTGTCCGAATGCCCGATCACTGTCTCCCAAAGCAGTTACTATACTCCCAACTCAAGAACAGAAAACTGAATGTTGGAGGGCAGGAAAAGAAATGTAAAGATGGGCTTAAAGCCAACATAAAAAACTGTGTCATAGACAGAGAGAGAACTGGGAAGCCCTGGCCCTTGAGCGCTCTAACTGGAGGTCAGCTGTGACCAGCAGTGCTGCAGAATTTGAAGAGGCACGAATGGAGGGCGGAAGGGAAAAACGTGCCAAGAGGAAGGTGTGACAAGCCAATCCTGACTGGGACCGCCTTCCACCTGGAAACTGATGTCCTCACTGAACATGTGGATCAAGACTCCCATGACCAACATGGACATTGATGGGCATTGACCTTGAGTTTGGGAGTTGTAGTTCACCTACATCCAGAGAGCACCGTGGACTCAAACAATGATGGATTTGGACCAAACTTGGCATGAATATTCCATATGACCAAATATGAACACAGATGGACTTTGGGGGAAATAGACCTTGACAATTGGGAGTTGTAGTTGCTGGGATTTATAGTTCACCTACAATCAAAGAGCATTCTGAACTCCACCAATGATGGAATTGAACCAAACGTGGCACACAAGACTCCCATGGGCAACATGGGCATTGATGAGCATTGACCTTGAGTTTGGGAATTGTAGTTCACCTACATCCAGAGAGCACAGTGGACTCAAACAATGATGGATTTGGACCAAACTTGGCATGAATATTCCATATGGTCAAATACGAACACAGATGGACTTTGGGGGAAATAGACCTTGACAATTGGGATTTGTAGTTGCTGGGATTTATAGTTCACCTACAATCAAAGAGCATTCTGAACCCCATGAACGACAGAATTGGGCCAAACTTCCCACACAGAACCCCCCATGACCAACAGAAAATGCTTAAGCCCACTCAGACCAACTCCCTTCACCAGGCCAAGGAAACGTAATCAAAGCCCTCCTGACAAAGGGCCATCCAGCCATAGATATAGATAGATAGATAGATAGATAGATAGATAGATAGATAGATAGATATGATTCACACCCATAGAGATACAGTATCCTAGATTTGAAAGGGACCCCTAAAGAAGGACTATGATATGTCGCATGTTCCAGAGTGGGAAAACCAGACACTCTCCACATCAACACTGACAAAGAAACAGCAAGAAATACTGTTTATCCACAAGCATAAAGACATTACATATATTAGAAACCAACACTTTCTCATTACTTTATTTTCCAGATCCCTGTTGTTCACAGAGAGACTTATAGCTGAGTAAATACTAGGCCTGGGTAACAACGCAAAAATTTGTTTCTAAAATCGATTCGTTTTTGGGGGTTTTTGCGTTTCGTTATTTAAAAGAATTACAAAATTTTCCTTTAAAAAAGTTCGGTATTTACGAAATTTCGTTATTATTAACGAATCGATTCGTTAAGATGGCGGACCCCCCCGCGCATGCGCAAATCACTTTTTTTTCTTTTTTTAGAATATTTTTTGAATTTTTTTAAGAATAAAAGAAATATTTATCAGAAATATTTAAA